AGACCCAAGACGCCGGCTCCAACCATGGCAGTGACATTGTGAAAAGCAGAGTACCACCACTTGGCGTTTCTGGACTTAGTGATCGGAAGCCAGTCGTTGAGTTCTTTGGAGCTTTCATCGGCTGCTTCCATGTTCTTCTGTGTTTCGGCTGCTTCCGCCATCTCTGAGTTGTTAATCGAAATATGCGCGTATTATGATGGTACGATAAGGTAATGAGAATCCGCGAGGATATGTTAATAAATAACAGATCCATTCCGATCTCCGGAGGGAGGGAGGAGTTTGTTTCCGACTAAAATTCAAATTAAGAGTGCGTGAGATTCCGTACGTTATTCGGGCCGCAAAATAAGGTACCTTCTCTAACCCTATCACTTACGAACAAACCCGCTGGAAATAATGACTAGAAAAACCAGGACGGAAACCCGTAAAGAAGCGCTTCCTGCAATGGTAGCAGGATGAGGTTGATAAGGATGTAGATCGTCACATGGCGTAAGGAATGATCCTTCTGTAAATTTAAGCTGGCCTTACATGGTGTAAGCAATGATCCTTCTGTAAAATTTAAACTGGCCTCATGTTGAGATAGAGAAGGATGCAGCTCATAGGAACAGCAAATACAGTAGCTCCAAGTAGTGGAATTACTCCAAAGCTCTTTCTTTGTGTAAAGGTTGGAAGACACAGAATAAACATCTCCTCCTATGAAGGATAAAAAAATTAATTACCATTTTACATGCTTCAAAAACATAGAACCAATTTCTGAAAGCTGAGTATATAACACCTTTTTACTTTACCCTTATTTCTTATACGTTTAAAAAGATTTCGAACTTCATAAAAATATCAGGTAAAAAAAGATTTCCTTTTCTTTTTTCGTCATATGCCAGATAGAGATGAGTTATTGAGGCGATTGGAGAGAGTTTTCACTTAACAGTATATCATGACGTTAGCATCGCAAGTTAAAGGGCACCACGAGATAAACTAAACCAAGCATATGATTTATGATGGATAGCGTGTAAAGAAAACCCAACATGATGGGGTTGATGGAGCTTCAAAATGGCATTACAATCTAATCCTGGTTACTTTACATTTGGTGACTGACCCTAAAATTATGATGACATGTACAACCACCCAACCCAGAATAGAAACGAAGAAAAAATGATGAAAAAGAAATTACTCTCATCAAAACTCTTTTGCATGGCACAGCCTCCAGAGTTAACAGAAGCAAGGAGAATGTTTTCACTACTCTTCCATTCCCAGACTGCAGCTGGAAACTTGATGTAAAATGGCACCACACTCAATTTAACACGTTACGTAGGATCCAAGCACCATTTGATCCCAGCATCCCAACAGCATTATCACGCTTCTGAAAATCCCATCTCATTTTTCTCTTCTCAAGCTCTAGTTGCAGTTCATCACAAATAGCCCACACAACCAAAACACAGCGCATCAAGAAGACATGGCACATCTAAATGCTTTCTTCCTCGCAATTTACACAGTCCTCGAGTGCCACAACCATTACTGTATGGGAAAAAGAATTGCCGTCAATCAATTTCACCTTCTTCTATATCATTCATAGGCTCTGGTGGACTCTTGGGTGGTTCACCTACTTCCTCCTCTTCCTCTTCCTCATCTGCTTTGATGTATAGTCCTAGCTGTTCCAGAGGGTTACTACTTCCCTGGAGTTTAAAACTACCTAACCCATTCTCAGAATCATCGGGGCTTCTCTCTTCCACAAAACTTGGTAAAAGGTCATCGTTAGCAGTCCTAAGCATTTCTAGATCTTCCATAAACTGACTGTTTCCATTGATATCCACAGTCTTTTCCATCTGTAGGTACACCAGGAAAGTAAATGTATTAATTTGTGCTGCATTTGCAACAACGTTATGGCTTCTTTCCACCATATGAATTCATTGATATCCACAGTTACCTTTTGCAATGCCTGACGCGCAGCTTCTCTCTCCAGTTCTCTCTGCCTTTTAGCTTCAGCTGCAGCCTCAGCCTCAGCTTTTCTTCTAGCCTCTTCAGCAGCTTTGGCCTCTGCTTGCAACCTTGTCTTTTCTGATAACCAACCAATTGAAAACATATTGAGTCAAATCTCCAAATGGCTTTTAAATAATACGTCTCAAACCAAGGACATATAAAAACTGCATCTCTAATGGTGGAAAACCTTCTTTTTGCCGCCTTTCTAGCTCCTCTCTCTCCAATCTCAGTTTCTCAGGATCCCGCTTTTCACCCTGATCTCAACAAAAATTTTACAGTGTTTGAGAGAGAACCTAAAGAAAAATGATTTAGAGTAAAACAAAAAAACCAAACTAACTAAACCATACACATAAGACCACTTCAACCAACCTTCTCAAGTGCCTTTTCTCGAGCTTTAAGTATGGTGTCTGCAAAGCGGCTCCTCAATAGAGCAGCCCGATAGAGCTTTTTGGGGGAGGCTTGCCTCTCAGATGGAGCACTCTCCCCTATAACGTTACATCATGATGGGTGAGATGATGCCCCAAAAGAAACAGCAGAGAGTCTTCTTAATGATTATGCTTACCCTCTTGATGGCCATCTTCCTCGACAGCATTGAGCCTACCCTGAGAATCAAGCTCAATTTGACTCAACCCATTTAAAGGTCCTGCTGAAGAGAATGAAAAGCTTAGGAAGCCAATTGGATTAAAAACCATATCCAGAGTATGTATACACAAGACTAAGAAACTTACGAACTCCAGCACTCTGAATCATTTGGTCAGGACTTGTTCCAGCACTCATCATGCCCTAATAGAAGAAGAAAGGGGAAAAATAATGGAATGAACTAAAAATGAGTCAACATAAATCAAGTATCATCAGTACTACACTTAACCTAGGGCTCAGGATAATAGAATCAAGCTTCACCACAAGAAATATACCTTCGTAGCACTAGCAGGAATGAGAGGTTTTGCAGTATCAGATTCACCGCCAGATGAACTTCCAGAATCTGAACCTGAAGGGGAAGTAACATAAAAAAAAAAAAAAATTACTATGACTATAAAATTAGATAAGCAAACAAATAAGGACTTTAATGTCTTAGTCTTATGTAAAGAGCATGTACAAGCACATACACAATGAGATAAAGTACCACTTGTAAACTTCTCATCCACAGCCTTTAAACAAGGTTTTTAGGATGATAATATATTTTCCAGACTACATAAGAGAAACCAATTTACTTGACAACCTTTTTGCCACCATCTTGACTTAGCCCATACCAACAGGAAAATGAAGGTGAAAAAAGACATAACCAGAAGCCATCAGAAATTAGCGAATCCTATGCTTCATGAACTTAATATCTAAGTCACACTTAAATTGTGAAGGAAAATTAAATTGACCGGACAAATCCCAGGTCCTTGACCAACTCGCTCTTAGAGGAGGGAAGTATTAACCAGCTAACCTGAGGCAGATAATTCAATACTGAATAAATGGGCTCCCCCTTATTTTGCAAAGAAATTAGTAAAATATTTTTGTTTTCTTCTTTATTCTAAAAAATAATTACATTTTAACATATATAGTTTCTATGATATATTAGAACTCATTCAATTATAGTCAAATTTTATTTACTTATTTATGATTGCAACATTATTTTCAACATAGATTAATGTTAAAAGACACGTGAGTTTCCTGTTAGTCGTTGAACTAAATACTCATTTTTCCTACTAGTGAAATCTCAGGGTAGAGAACTGTCACCAAAAAAACAAAACCATAGTTTTATTTAGATGTATCAAAGAACAATAGTTGAAACTACAATTTATCCTAATTGTAATCACGATACAAGAATTTTCAGACCAACCTTAAAGCAAATAAAACCATTAACTCCTCTCCAGCAAAAGAAATTGCGCAATCTTGCCCATGGAGAGACAAAGATCTTAAGTATTTAGAATCAGTAAAGACCTACCAGACGACACCTTGAGAGCAATTTCTCACTCAAAATTGCCAAAGCATAGGGAAGATGACTTATTGTTCAGGAAGATTTCCGCCCTTAAAAACTCATTTGCCAATTCTTTCAACATCAATTGCTTATAATTTGCATATAAATTGAAAGTATTAATTTGGGAACTTCTAATCACTAGATTCTTGTTAACTATTTTGCATATTGATTTCTTGTACTTAACCACTTTAATCAGTCTTGTATCTCATATTCTTACTATTCATGACCAACTTAAATCCTCCAACTGATGGTCAATGTTGAACCATTCATGATGTAAAAAAGATAAGCAATTATAATTTCACCGAGCAACACTACCCAAGATCCATGCTTGTCGTACTTAATCAGCAAAGCCTACCAGACAATACCATCCCAGCAATTTTTCACCCAAAATTGCCATTATGTACCAAGATCATTTTATTGTTCGGGCAGACTTTTGCCCTTAAAAACTCATTTGCCAATTCTTCAACATCAATTGCTCATAATCTGCATATAAATTCAAGCATTAATTTGGGAACTTCTAACAACTAGATTCTTGTTAACTGTTTCAAATATTAATTTCTTATACTTAGTAACTTTAGTTGGTCCTATACTTCAGCTTCTTACCATTCATGACCAACTTAAATCCTCCCAACTGATGTGAAGCATTAAATCATTCA